ATATTGTATAAAGGAGAAAGTATACATCATTCATGTTCAGAAAAAAAGTTTACTATTTACAATGATCATAAAACACCTTAAAATTTAACTGAATCAATTTGGGATTTAAAATTAAATAATTAAAAATAAAAATTTTATAAATATTTAATAAATAGCTTAATAAAATTTTATCATTCATCTTGAAACTTATTTTTCATATGATAATAACTTAATATACTCTTGAATTATTTAAAAATACGTATTTTTTCATGGTGAGTTTTATATAATAATTAATATTATTTCATATTTTGTAACAATAGCTGTTTATAATTTCTTTTTGTTTCATAGCATAACTATCTATCTACATATAATGAGTGATCATTATTCATATATCAAACGTTTAGATGTTTCAGAGTATGTATAAAGATCGTGAGAATATTTCTTGATCTGATCTTTATAGAACATAAAAGAAAGAGACATGATACACATGAATATTCAAATAAAAAACCTAATCTATTAGTATCTGGTCATGTACCTATCAGAAATGATAAGGATGTAAGTCTGTTCTGGAATGAACCTATACAACAATTATCAAGAAAATTATGGTAACCAAATAGAACAGACCTGAACAACAGAGAGTCGAATTCTTGGTTCTCAAAACAAATATATGAACGAATAATTTTAAGACAGAGTATCTATTATACTTCATCAGAGCTTTCACAATTGATAGAAGATGAGAGATTAAAGACTCATAAAATTCACATATATCCCATTACCAAGAAAAGCAAATATTGTTAAAATAGATTGGAACATACCGATGGATTTACAACAGATGCTTGGAACTAGTAAAACAAGATGAATCCATGTCTAGAGATAATTTGAGAATAAAAGTGTTGAACAATAATAATTACGAATATGATAATACTTGGGTCAAAGATACACCTAGTGCGATCTAACTTCGAGTAATAATAGAATTAAGAACTGTATACAAGACAAATTTTGTCAAATGAAAGAAAAACAAAGATTTCAAATTTGAAATCAAAAAGAAGACAAGAAAATACAAGTCTCAAACTATTACTGTTGAGAAAATAGACTTTATCAAAGAAACTGGTAATTTTGCTTTTCTCAAGTATATCAAGATGTCTGAAAAACTACCAGAGATAAATAACGCAGTCAGAATTACAAGAAATAGACTTAGTAGATTCTTTGTCTGCATTTGTGTACTGACAAAAGAATATTACTGAGAAGACAACAATTTAGTTTCGATTAATCCTGATATTCGATCTTTCATAATATATTATGATCCGAGTAGAAAGATTATTGAGTACAATAAAGGTGATGCTATATGTATCTATCATTTGTGCAAGAAATATGACAAGTACCAGAGTGAAAGGTCAAAGCTCAAAGGTGGATCCAAGAAAAGAAGGAGGTACACTATAAGGAGAAAGATGTTAAGGATACATGACAAGATCAAAAACTTGATAAAAGACTGTCATTACAAGATTGCAAAAGACTTGTGCAAAAACTACAACACTATCTTATTACCAAGGTTTGAGACAAAGAACATGGTAAGAAAGAAAAAATCAAGATTCGAGAACCAAGAGTCTGAATTTATCAAAGCTTTTAAGAAAAACCTCAAGAGAAAGATTAATAGCAAGACCATGAGAATGATGTTGAAATGGTCGCACTTTAGTTTCCAACAACATTTAATTCACAAGATACGAGAATATCCTATTTATGTGCAGTTTAGAGATTAACAGGGATCACAATAGTGCACGTAACATACTCTTGAAACATCTGAGTTAGAGCAACTTGGTGATTGGGCCTACCCTACTCAAATAAGTACTAATTTTCATTTTATAACTGTGATATAATTTATCATAAATGATTGGTTTTTCTGTAGGAGTCAAACATATTTGTTATCCATAATAAACCATTATTTTTTATTAGGAATATGTTTTATAGGATAAAGTTTCATTTACAATAAATTTTATTATATTATATCATTTTTTTTTTATAAATAATAATAATTTAACAAGTAAAATAAATCACAATCAATTTAATATGAATGTTATTAATAATTCGAAATTTAATGAATTAAATGTTAAATCTTTTGATGAAAATAACCCTAAAAATTAGTCAAGAAATGAAAATATCAAAGTTTTTTCATACTTTCAGTATTGGGTACACTTGCTCCAGTATCCGTAGGACTGTTATATCCATCTATTGTTAATATTCAAAA